CTTATAACCCTACTTACTTAGTAAGCCCCATGAACCTCCAAGTAGGACCCTAAACCCCAAACCCTAAACCGAACTTAGGGATACTTGCAAATGCTTCTTAATTTGGGGTTACTGTAATCCCCAGGAAACGGTACCTGCTTCAGTATAGAATCTGCGTAGCCAGAAACAGGATCCCCACTCCGCCGAGCTCTAAGAAACCCCAGACCCTCGGACCCAGGGCCTTCCCCGAAGTGGGTTTAGGGTTTAGAGCTCAGGGTTTAGGGTTTACGGTTTAGGGTTCAGGGTTTAGGGTTTAGGGTTCGGGGTTCGGGGTTTAAGGGACTGCTATCTCCTGGTTTAGGGGGTTGTCAATATTAGGGTCCCTTTTTGGGTCCTTATTATAATACGGCACCTAATATTTAGGGAAGCCAAAAAGGGACCATAATTTCGACAACCACCCAGGTTTTGAAGCCGTGACCGTTATCTCCTGGCTCCAAGAGTAGCGCCCTTCCACCCCTTTTGCAAGTGAACCATAAAGAAACAGGGTATCCTCGTTGTAGATGGGATCCTGGAGAAGGGAGCGTAACTATAGCCTGAAAACTTACAGACCGTATTCAATCCATTAAACCCTGAAGCCCTGAACCCTGAAACCTCAACCCAAGACTCTAAACTTGGGAACTACCGGGCTGAAGAAAGCTAGCCAAACGCACGGCCGATTACATGCGTTCGAACGCGCCTTGAAGCAGATGTTGAGCGTTCCGCAGCCTGCAGAGGCCAGTCAAGATAGGGCAAAGCGGACAGTGAGCGTTTATTGCTTGGCAGGTTCCAGCTTTGAGCTGGAGGTCGATTCTGCCCAAACGGGGTGGGAAGCAGCGGAACGCATCGCAGCGAGAGTTGGCCACCCTGCAGGTTTACTTGTGCTGACATCTGGTGGCTGTGTCATCGATCAGTGCCAGCTGCTGCTGCGTCAAGTCCAGCACGACGAGATCTCGTACGGGGTGCGAAAGCTTGGCGCGGGTCGTGTCGCGATGCTTTGGGAGCGCCTACTCAGGAGAAGACTCTGCCTAATGTAGATGCAGCTGCCTTGAACGAGACGATGTCACTCGGATGGGAATCCCACGAAGAGCTCAACCAAGGAATGCAGCTTCCCAGCCACCTGCAGAGTTTGACGTTTGGCCGCATGTTCAACCAGAGCATGGAGGGCATCCAGCTACCCAGCAGCCTGCAGAACTTGAAGTTTGGCTACACATTCAACCAGAGCTTGGCGGGCATCCGACTACCCAACAGCCTGCAGAGTTTGACGTTTGGAAATTACTTCAACCAGAGCTTGGCGGGCATCCAACTACCCAGCAGCCTGCAGAGTTTGACGTTTGGGAATCACTTCAACCAGAGCTTGGAGGGCATCCAACTACCCAGCAGCCTGCAGAGTTTGACGTTTGGCCTGGAGTTCAACCAGCGGCTGGAAGGCATCCAACTACCCAGCAGCCTGCAGAGTTTGACGTTTGGCTTCGAGTTCAACCAGCGGCTGGATGCCATCCAACTACCAAACTGCCTGCAGAGTTTGACGTTTGGCTACAAGTTCAACCAGCGGCTAGACGGCATCCAACTACCCAGCAGCCTGCGGAATCTGACGGTTGATGGTGACCGTTTCAACCAGAGCTTGGAGGGCATGCAAATACCCAGCAGCCTGCAGAGTTTGGAGTTTGGTGGCCCTTCCAACCACAGCTTGAAGGTTGTCCGACTACCTAGCAACCTGCAGAGTTTGACGTTTGGCCGCAGGTTCAACCAGAGCTTGGATGGCATCCAGCTACCCAGCAGCCTGCAGAGCTTGACGTTTGGCTACGAGTTTAACCAGAGCTTGGAAGGCATCCAATTACCCAGCAGCCTGCAGAGTTTGACGTTTGGCTTCGAGTTCAACCAGCGGCTGGATGCCATCCAACTACCAAACTGCCTGCAGAGTTTGACGTTTGGCTACAAGTTCAACCAGCGGCTAGACGGCATCCAACTACCCAGCAGCCTGCGGAATCTGACGGTTGATGGTGACCGTTTCAACCAGAGCTTGGAGGGCATGCAAATACCCAGCAGCCTGCAGAGTTTGGAGTTTGGTGGCCCTTCCAACCACAGCTTGAAGGTTGTCCGACTACCTAGCAACCTGCAGAGTTTGACGTTTGGCCGCATGTTCAACCAGAGCTTGGATGGCATCCAGCTACCCAGCAGCCTGCAGAGCTTGACGTTTGGCTACGAGTTTAACCAGAGCTTGGAAGGCATCCAACTACCCAGCAACCTACAGAGTTTGACGTTTGGCTGCTCGTTTGAAAAAAGCTTGGAAGGCATCCAGCTACCCAGCAGCCTGCAGAGCTTGGAATTTGGAGAAACATTCAACCAGAGCTTGGAGGGCATCCAACTACCCAGTGGCCTGCAGAGTTTGACATTTGGCGAAAGATTCAACCAGCGGCTGGATGGCATCCAGTTAGCCCAGCATTTGTCTGCGGAGTTTGACATTTGGCGAACAGTTCGACCAGAGCTTGGAAGGCTTCCAACTACCCAGCAGCCTGCAGAGTTTAACGTTTGGTGACTTCTTCGACCAGAGCTTGGAGGGCATCCAACTACCCAGCAGCCTGCAGAGTGTGACATTTGGCAAAGAGTTCAACCAGACCTTGCATGGCGTCCTGTTACCCAGCAACCTGCAAAGTTTGACATTTGGCGACGAGTTCAACCAGGGCTTGGATGGCATCCAGCTACCCAGCAGCCTGCAGAGTTTAACATTTGGCGACGAGTTCAACCAGAGCTTGGATGGCATCCAGTTACAGCCTGCGGAGTTTGACAGGCCTGCGGAGTTTGACGTTTGGCGAACAGTTCAACCAGAGCTTGGAAGTTTGCATCCAACTTGGATGGCATCCAGCAGCCTGCAGAGTTTGGCGAACAGTTCAACCAGAGCTTGGAAGGCATCCATTGCTTCAACCAGAGCATGGAGGGCATCCAGCTACCCAGCAGCCTTCAGAGTTTGACGTTGGGCCACGACTTCAACCAGAGCTTGGAGAGCATCCAACTACCCAGCAGTCTGCGAAGTTTCACCTCACGGCATTTTTGTATAGACACGTGGTGAGCAGTGATGTGCCGATTTGGCTTCCTCTTCAGGGGCAATTTGGTTGAATTCTTTAGCTTCTTCTGGGCCTGCTGTGGTTCTTGCAGAGCGTCCACCCGAGTGAATGCATTTTGGGCATTCCTTATTATACTTATAGTATAACGGGCCCCAAAACCCACTTCTAATTATTAAGTCCTTTACAGTAAGAAGACCCAAGTCTTGATCCCGCGCACAAACCTGCTGAGCCATGTTGGCTTTCGCCGATGGGTCGATTTCGGCACAAGCCGTTTTTCATAGCGCATGCTTCCATGAAGCGAGCGCAGGACCTGCGCTGCGGAGAAACTGCATCGTAACAAAAAACCACTGTAAACCGAGATCTGTTCGCCATGCCAGGAGGCTGTCTGCGCAGCTTAGGGATTAGAGCCGGGTTTAGGTTTTAGGACTTAGGGGAACCTTAAACCTTGAAACCTTCAACTTCGCACGCAACTGAATGTTTAGTGTTTCCCTTGCAACTTCCATGTCATTGGGACCCTTAGGGGACTACGGGGCCTTCATGGCCTATTTAAGGAAGTATAGTCCCTTACCCCCTCGCCCTACCCCTAAAGCCCAACCTAAACCCCTAAAACCCCCCTCAGGGTCCCCCCTACCCCCCTTTTTTGGGTCCCTGTGGGAGTTTCCGAAAATAGGGGACCCTAATATAGTACCCTAAATAGTAGGAGCCTTATTATAGGGACCCCAAGTAAGGTACCCCTAATTTTCAGAAGCCCTAAACACCTAAGCCTTTCAAAGGACCCTGATAGATCCCTGTAAGGAACCCTTAAAGGATCCTGGTCTACCCCTTTGGGTTAGTAAAAAGTGGAGGAATGGGGTACAATTATAACTACTACTACTACTACTACTTCTTCTTCTTCCCTCGCAGCAAAGATCCGACTTCGCTAAGCGTCCCTCGACGGCGACATGGTGTTTGTCGGCGCCTATGGTTGGCGCACCCCTTTGGGGCCCGGTAGAAAGTGGCTTCGGCACTAGTGCCTGCAAGCCGGTCTGGTTATAAAGAAAGGCTCCACTCGGTTGGTGGTGCACTGGTAACAGGCTCGGCAGAATAAAAGAGTGAACGAGTGTTCATCGCATCCCCTTCAAGAAGTGCCCCACTCGATGCAAGGCAGTCAGATGGACCTGACCAATGCGAACACGTATCCTTGATGCATGGCCGATGTGGGGATTGAGGTCTGGGCCCCAAGACGACGGTTGTCATCCGATAGCCAGCATCGTCCCCTGTGCAGCTCAGCGGTTGGGTCCAGAAGTGCTGCAGTGTAATGGCCAGCAGCAGTATGCGGTCCATGATGCATTATAGCGGCAGCTACAGTGTATCTGGCTCTGAAGGTCGTGAGATGTCGGCCCCAAATCGGCACGAAGATTGAGTCAGGAATCGTGATAGCCTGGCTGTTCTTGACAGCCACCGCATTATCAAAATCATACCTGGCCAGTTGTACAAAGCACAGGGACGAGGCTTGACAGAGAGCATGCGGCTGCACCTGATTGTGCCATCCATCAAGACAGTCCTGCAGTGTTTGATGCCGCGGTTGTATGTGCAGAATGATGGGAGAATGCAGTCGGCCAAAGTCCTCGCGATATGTTTCACCCCCTTCCAAAGTACGGGATTCCCAGGTGCCTTGAAGGATGGGTGGCTGCATCTTCGCAAGTACATGGGTCATGAAGGCTGAGACATCGTGCTGTGCCGATGGCCGCTCCCACCCACGCCATAATGATGCCCATGATTGCAGCCTGAACAGTGATACACTAGTTGAGTGGTAGAGGACATCTCTCCACGCCTGCACTTTGGTGCCAAAGAGCTGTTCCTCAGGCACCTTCAGGAGCTGATGACACCACAGCAGTGCAAAGGCAAATGAGTTGGCATAGCAATGCTGGGAACGGTTGATCAAGCAGAGCCTGTGTAGTCCTGCAGCAATTTCTGCACGTCGTTGGCAAGCGAGCTCCTCTTGAGATTGTCCCGTTTGAGTTGCATGCCACACAGCTGTAGGGCCGTCGAGTTCGATAGGAACTCGAGGGCTGCCCAGACCTTCTCGACTCCCGTGGCCCTCAGTCCCACTTCCAAGAGGAAAGTCGTGATTTGCTCTGGATTGGCCGGTAGACCGTTCGTCGCATTGAAGCGATGAATCACGTCCTTTTCCGTCACTGCTGTCACCAACAGGGTAACATGATTGACGATCTCTTGGTGTGTCACTGCTGCTCTTGAGGCGTCGGTCGTGAGGGTCTGGTTCTCGGGGTCCCAACGTTGATATACCCATTTGCCCTCGTTGTTCAGCCAGCCTTTGGTTTTGGCCTGAGTTTGCTGATCCGGTTGCGCGGCCAGGTTCTGCAGGCATGTAAGCAGAGTCTGAAACAGGGTGCTCAGCAAGACCGCCCTGAGGGGAGCTTCCATGAACTTGGTCTTCGAGGCCTCGCGATATGTGGCTGCAGCTTTGAACAGAATCGGCATGCCCCCGGATTGGCCCGGCTTCAAGTAGAGGGTCCAGGCAGAGTTTTGCTTCAGGACCTGCAATTGGGTCTCTTGGCGTATCACCAATCTGCCCATCGCCTTGATCAAAGCTGCCTCCTTGTCCTGGCGACCGTGTCGATTCTGCCCCCTGTAACGGGGGCCGAAGCCCCCTCCTGAAGGCTCTGCGAAGGGCGCCCTCTGGCGCTTGTCCGTCTTGGGGTGCTTGGACGGACGATCGTTGTCCGACATGTCCTCCATGAGAAGATTGGCCAGCTTGCCCGCTCCCTCCAGGGCCACTGGCCCGAAGATCTCGTGGATCTGTTGGTCCGCCATTTCTGTGTGCAGCCGTATAGCTGATGCAGAATTGCCACAGAACAGTACACTGGGTATTATGTGCTTTAGGCTGGGCAAGTTTGGCTTTACAAAAGTGGCACGGAGAGCTACAGCGGGGGTATGATTGACACAACTTATGGGCAGTATCGTTGTGGAGTCGGAATAACTCAGCATGTGTACGACGGTAGTGCAGCTTCATGGCTTTGTGCGAGGCAACCCACTGTCCACAAACTAAACAATGCTGAAGGTAGACTTCGTTGGCTTTGGAGTGGTAGATAGCGCGGGATTCATATGTCTGAACTAGGTCAGGCCATGGTGATTCAGCAAAGAGTGCAGGTCGCTTGGATGCTGGCACAATTGGCTCGATCGGGGCGGCAGGCAGCAACTCGTGTTTCGCGGCACAGTAATTGCCCGCCACGTGTCGTTGGAGAAGCTGCCAAGTCGAAAATCGTTTTCCACACGCTGCACACTGGGGCATTCCTCCTATAGCATCAACGGCCCGATCAAAAGTTGGTTGCTCAAGTTCAAGCAGACTCTCCGGATGTTGCTTGGCCACATGAGTAAGCAGTGCAGATCTGAGGGCGTATGTAATGCCACATATCGGGCAGGCGCACTTTGCAACAGTCAGGGAAGGCACTTGAATCGTAGTCGACTCAGCTGGTGGCTGAAGACTCTCTTCGACCTGCTTCCACCATGAATCAGCAGGGGTACAGATGAAGGGGTCGACTGGTGATGATGCATTGGATTTTCTACGAGCCTCCGTCTGGAGGAGTTTCTGCAGCATACGATGCGGTAGTTCGAGACCCGCCTGTTGAGCTATCTCTGCATTACTTGTGAAGGTGAGATGGACGGGGCTTCTGAGAATGGCACGGAGGTGCTTGATCACAGCAGTCTCCAAAGTTTTGTGACCTGAGGGAGTGAGGCCACAGGCCGGCAGTGCATAGGAGATGCTGCTCCAGACACAGGATTTCCACAGATCGATTCTCTGGGCGGCAGTCAGATGATGGCGCCCTTTGAGAACAGAGCCAAGGCGATTGTAGGTGGCAGTTCCTTTCCCTAGCCGATACTGCAGAGTTTGATTCTCAAAAGCCTGATAGCTAACCCGAGCACCGAGGTACGTAAACTGTGAGACCAGGGGAATGGCCAGGACGCGATTGCGAAGTTGAATGCGAAGAACTTTGCCCCCCGGGACCTTGCGAACATATCTGCGGGTGATGGTGTTGCTCAAGGTGCCTCTTAAGGCCAAGACGGCTTTAGATTTGGCATCACTGACCTCCATGCCGAAGGCTTCAAGGGTGCAGAACAGAGCGACAATGCAGTCAAGAAGGGCCTCAAACTCCGGAAGACTATGAAAGCTGTCGGCTGCAAAGTGGTCGTCGGCAAAGACGGTGAGAATTTGGTCCACCTTGTGTTTGCCAATGCGGGCCGCAAGCTGAGTGCACAGAACATGCGAGAATACCAGCCATAAAAGAGGGGATGCAGAGCAGCCTTGGCGAATGCCACGGCTTGCCGGGAAGGTGCAGGACTGGCCAGCATGATGCACGGTGTACCGGATTTGTGAGTGCCACTGCATGACCACAGCAACAAGACTATCAGGCAGCTGCAGGTCACGCATTCCTTGGAGAAGATGGTGGCGAGGCATTCTGTCGAACGCCTGTGACAGATCTAAGGTTAGCATCAAGGCACCAAAAAGAGGAGTGGGCCTGTGGCCTGCTTTCCGGGCGTGCAGGTCCCTGCGATGGTGGCCAAGTTCTTCCCTGACAGAGGCACAATGCTTGAAAGCTCTGCGCAGTGCATCGTACTGGGCCCGACCTTGCTGGTAGGCGTATTGCGGAAACTGTTGGATAGCAGCAAGCATCTGGGGTATGTAGGGTCCAACCAGGCAGCTGAGGACTTTCTTACCCAGGGGGCAGGATAGGCCTATGGGCCGGTGGTCTTCCGGTTTAGTGCCCGGTTTTCCCGGTTTGGGAACCAGAGCAAGGTCTACATCCGCCCAGCTAGGGGGCACAGTGATCTCTGTATAGGCCCATGTCTGCGTGAGGCATGCACACAGCCACGGTGACACAAGATCTGCACAGCATCGCCAAACTGCACTCGGTGGGTGTTCTTTCGGCACTGCTTTGCGACGCGGAACCAGCATCAGCTGTTGGGAGAGTGCAGTAGGATCAAGGTCCGGAGCAGCAGAAGTGGACCAGGGACCTCTGGTGGCAGCCAGGGCAGTGGCATCTGTTTCACAGAAACGCTGTTTAAAGTGACAAGCCAGGAGGTCCACCTCTTGGGCAGCATCAAGCATGTGTCCTTGAGCATCTCGTAGTTGGAGCCGATGTCTGGTTTGCTTGGGGGCAATTCGATTCACAACTTGGAAGATGCCTCGTGTGTCGTGCTTGTATGCACACTGACGAGCCTCGTCCATGGCGACTGTCAGGACCTGCTTACGGGCAGCACGATAGGCAGCTTGATGTTGTTTATGGTGAGCAGTAAAAGTGCGCCAAGCCTTCCAAGCTGAAAACCATCCTCGTAACCCGTTCTTTCGGATTCTTTTGAAAGCCCTCCACTTGTCCCACATGGACCTGATCCCAGTCTGCACTTCGTTCGTTTGCCAGGGTTTGGCACGAGCTGAGGTGGCAGCCTTCGGGAATATTTTCAGACAGGCTTGGTAAAGGACTGCATGCAGCTGCTCGATGCCATCGATCGTAGGATGGGCCTGCATGTGTTGTAGGGCAGTTTGTCGAATGCGGTTTATCTGACTCGCATGTTCAGCTTGAGTGGGATTATCAAGTGCAGTCAGTAGGGCCTCTCGATCAATAGAGTGAACAGCCCGTGCTGTGGTACGAGTCCAATGCGGCCTACGCAGGTTGAGACAGCAGAGCAAGGGAAAATGATGGGCTCCACCTTGCCTAGAGGCTCCCACATGGAAGCTCCTCATTGCATAGGCCTGCTTGGCCTGCGACGTGGCATCACGTCGTCGTACCCACAGGAAGTCAATCTGTGATTCTACCTGTCCCCATTTGAAGGTGGAGGCAGCTCCAGAGGTCGGATGCCTCCATGTGTTCAGAGAGACAAGGTCAAAGGTGCGATATAGATCAACCAGGTCCTGAGCATCCTCCGGTGGATGCTGTGGCATAGGCAGCACATGATGGCCTACATGGGGCAGATCAGTAGCCACAGGGGTGTTCATGTCCCCAGCCAGTAGGATTGAGTCCCTGACAGGAACACGTCCTAGGCTTTTGTGGAGCGATTGCCAGACTTGCTGGCGCTGATCAAGGTAGGTGGCAGCCTTCGGGTTGTGCACTGTTTGGTAAACGCCGAAGATGTGTAAATGTCGGGCCTCTCGTCCCGGTAAGGGGAGGCGGATGTGCGTGATTCGTCCCTGCAAGGTGTGTTCATACCGAAGTTGGGACGGAGGCACTAGGGACTGTCTAATCAAGATTAAGACTCCGGCTTCTTTCCTGGACCGACAGCCTCCATGTATACATACCCAATCTCCTGACGTGAATTCGAAGTGGTCAGTCCAACGGCTCTCAACCACTATGGCGATATCTATGGAGGACTGGGATAAATAAGTCATCAACTCCGGGTATAGGCCTGAGCCAAGTCCACCCGAGTTCCAAGACAGTACACGGAGTCCGCGAATACGGTCCTGTCGGAAGGAGGGTCGGGCTTGCAGTCCCACTTGTGGCACTCGAAACTGAGAGGGCACATCCTGTGCCCGCAGGGTACGCCCGCGGTAGCGGGTTGAGCCTTGTTGCAGTGCACGGTTGCATGCTCGATGGAAAGCACGTTTGACGCAGCGGCTATAATCGCGCGAACTCAGACCATGACTATTAGGGAGGTCACTGGGCTTCGGCGCCGAAGCCAAAGGAGGCAATGTTGTGGAAGCACCTCCAGCAGCTCTAGTGACAGGAGCTGCAACCCTCGCTTCTGATCCCACGGCGGCACACACTGGAGTTGCAGGTAGACGAGTAGAAGTCTGTGCAACCAGCTTACATGGAATCCTCGGGACTTGGGACCCGAGCGGGTCGGTAAAGGAGATGTGGCAGATGCCGTGGCAGTGGCTAAACCACCTGCAAGGGTGCAATCGGGACCACGAGCTGTGGTGGCAATGACTGAGAGACTTGCCTCCGGTCCAGCACTGGACTGGGTCACGTTGGGGGCACCACTGTGCCGGCTGGTTGACCTGGGCCAACACCGGAGCAAGGAGGATGCAATTGGGATGAGGACCCACAGTAGGGTTGATTGGCCCGCCTCGCTGTGAGGGAGTACGCAGGTATGTGTCAGGCGGCTGGCCGAGGGGTACCTGGAGAAGGGGCCGTATGGCAGCACAGAGGCTCTGGCAAGGCAAGTCCAGACAACGGCAATGCAGAGCTGTGTCACTTGGGCAATTGCATGCAGTGGCTCCACTTTTTTGCATGGGAGGGCCGGTCTCGGCTGCTGTGGTGCGAACCGGCTACACTGGAAGAGCTGTAGAAGTGACCATAGGAAGAGCTGGCAGGGCCGGTATTTCGTAACTGGTAGGCTCCGCATGCCAGACTGTCGGGCTTCACCTGAGGGACTGTGCGTGGCTCTAGGGGCGTCATGGACAGGCGGGGACTTAGGGTCCAGGTCGTGGCTGGCCGTACTCGGAGCTAGCAGCTCGAAGCGTGTAGCTAGGTTGGCCGGAGCCATGAGCATGTTGAGGTTTACGGGTGGGGGGGCCTCGGGTGCCCACCTGGTACCGGTGCTGGCGAGCGGGACCTCGATCTGGATCGTGGTCCACCTGCTGTTGGGGCCGATGACTCTGCTTGGCGATCACGGCTTTGGTCCTCTGATTCATACAGCGTGCCAGTTGCATCGGGCTCTGTATCTGCCGAGTCATCAGGAGGTAGATGGCCGCTTGGAGGTGGCACGGCTGCAATGATAGAGGTGGTCGCCAGGGCAGGGGCTATGGTAGCAGAGGGAGGTCTTGTTGCGGTCCGGTCTCGATCGCTCTCCGAGTCTGCTTCCGAGGTGTTGGGGTCATCAGTACGTCCCTCGGATTCTGGTGCCGTTTCTACCCCACCTACCTCATGGACTCCATTGTCGACGTTGTCATCGTAGAGGGCGTTGTTGAGGTCCTGCGGGTCTGTTCTGGCAAGCATGTACTCTTCGGCCGGCGTGGCCTCCCTGAGGCTGATCAGGAGAGATCGCCAGGTTGCGACTTCGGCATACTCCGGGGCCCTCACATACGCCGGTCCGGTCAGCTGGAGGTGGTGGAGGATATTGGCCGCCAGAGCGTCACCTGCCTCACCGTGGGGAGCCCGGGTTGGCCACGTGGCAGCTATGCCCATGGAGTCTACTCCAGCTGAAGTCGAGGTGGAGCCTGCACTGGGTTCAGTTCGACGAGCTCGGACGTGGGCCATTGTCGACGGAGCATTGACCGGTTGGGGTGGAGGAGGTCCATATGGCGGCGCATGAAGTGGGACGTGATCGGGCAAGGGCGCCCGCTCTGCAGCTGTCATTGGAGAGGTAGGAGCCGATCCTGAGCTTTCATTGCCCTCTTCGGTGGCTTCCTCGAGGACACTGTCGTGAAGAGGATCCCGGTCCATGTTGGAGGCCGTGGGATTAGAGTAGCCCAGCCAGGGTTCAGGGCGTTCAACAGGGTCGGGTGACCCGTCCAGTTGTAACAGGTGCTGAAGTCCTTGGGGCCCCTGAGATCCCTGAGGTACCGTTTGGCTAGGTGCAACCTTGGGGGACCTAACCCCTAAAGGGCCTATGGTGGGGTGAGGGATTGGCATAGTGCATGTGGTATGCGGATACATCTGCCTGCTTGAGCACTGATCAAACCACATGTTCGCCCTGTCTCGGATGTGAGGCGTCAGTGGCAGCCACAGTCTACAGTAAAGCTTGCTGCAAATGATCCTGCAACCCTCAACAAAGCTTGCATGGGCGCACGTTGAGATCGCAGTGGCAGCTGGCACCCAGGAGAGAAGGCTTGCAGCCGCCCGATAGACCTGTGAAGGTAGACAGGTGTGGGAGAGTTTTCTCTTACGTCGGCAGCGACGAGCAGGGGCCTGTGGTTTGAGTTTCCAGAGTCGACTGCGACGTCCTAGACAACTTCTTGTATACACAGGACTGCTCTGGCTTTGGTAAGCGTTGTGCATCCCAAGTCCTGACCGTTGTTGTGTCAGGGAACCAACACAGAGGTGACAGGGTGCAGTTTCGGCTGTCCAAATGCCGTCCACATAACAGCCTGTTGATAAATAAAGGCCAGATTGAAGTTCAATCCAATCCTTCCAGGGCCTCCTCGCAGCACTGGAGTTTGCCAACGATGCAGGGAGTCCATAGATAGTATGCCAGGGCAGGATGTGCTCGCGTACACCAGGAGCGTGTTTCCGGCACCTGAGACGGGTACTTGGAGGCTGCAACAGCCTCCAGGACCCATCCTGGGTCGCTTCTCTTCCATCTAGTCTCAAAACAGTCAAAATATCTGTGGTCATTCCTATAGCCACCGGCTTGGTTGTACATGTCCAGAAGAACCATTCGCAGGAAGTCATCCTGTATGTCATGGTTTTGCCTGTCAGCATCGGCCTGAGCAGAACAGGTGGCACATGCAGCTGGGCAGCTGGGAACACCCCAGTCGTGGATTTTGTTACATCCATGTAGGAAGCCGATGAAGCATAGTGCATGAGCAGTGTCAGAGCTGCATGCAGTCTGAAGAGCCATTGCATGTTGCCCGCGGGCCAAGCCGTGTTCAGTTCAGGGACTTGGGCCTGCTAGTCAGCTTACCGTTAGGAAGAGAGCCACAGAAAATTTTCGGCATCGCCCACTCGCTGTGAGCCGAGAAGCTTCTACTACTACTACTACTACTACTACTACTACTACTACTACTACTACTACTACTACTACTACTACTACTTCTACTACTACTACTACCATTCTTCCATTCCCTACTAACCAAAGGTAAGTTCTGGGTCCCTATGATCCACGACATCGCAATCTGTAGGCTCAGCCGCGGGACTTCCCTTCCCGTGATCATGCCATGAACCCTAAACTTACGGAAAGGATCAGGGGACTTAGTAATTGGGGGTTCCTTGAAGGGGTCCCTTTAAGGGATCTATAGGGGTACTATAAGGGTTTAGGTTTTGGGGTCTACTTAAAGGATCATGGGACTTAGTAAGTGGGGGGTTCCTTTAAGGGGTCCCTTTAAGGGATCTATAGGGATACAAAAAGGGTTTAGGGTGTGGGTCTACTTAAAGGATCAGGGGACTTAGTAATTGGGGGGTTTCTTTCAGGGGTCCCTTTAAGGAATCTATAAGGGTACTATAAGGGTTTAGGGTTTGGGGTCTACTTAAAGGATCATGGGACTTAGTAATTGAGGTTTAGGTAAGTCAAGTACAGTTACAATTACTCATAACTCCGATTAAGGTACGCAAAACCCTACTTACTAAGTCCCATGATGCTTCAAGTATTCTAATTATTAAGGGCCGTATATTACAGTCCTTCTTATAAGCGTTCCATGCTTCAAGGTACAAGGGTTTAGGTCATCAGGGCTTCTGGAGGTTTGGCTTTTGGTTCCATCATGGCATCTTCAAGCCACAGATGCAAGGGATTTGCGCCGCGCCCCAGGTCATGCCCGAGATGTTCAATGTGTATCTGAAGATGCATTCCGAAATGGAGGGTCAGGACTTCAAGCTGCAGCATCAAAGGGCCAAGCTTCTTGCACGGAGGGTTTGGTCGCGATGGATGCCTGCGAGGGTGACTTCGCTTCGCAGCTGGGAGTCCTTTAGTGGTGTGTGTGGGTGTGTCTCTGGTCTACCTTCTGTCGGGAAGGAATGGATCTCCAGTTGCCAGAGCCCACGGCTCCTCTCTCTCTCTCTCTATCTCTCTCTCGCTCTCTTGCTCTCTTGCTCTCTCTCCGATCCTCGTCTTGTCTTTTTGTGTCCCGCCAATCTCTGTATCTCTCAGACGACCTCGAAGACTTTTATTTGAAGGACCCCTCGCGAGTCAGCTTCAGCAGGCAGCAGGCCTGGCTTGATCAGGTTTTGTGTATACACGCACCCATATATACATGTGTAAGTATATATACACATATGTATATTTATACTTTCAGATTTGCTGATTTGTAACATAGCACATGGATAGGTAGATAGATAGTTGGGTAGATGCACGCATACACATACATACATACATACGTACATCCATACATACATACATACATATACATATGTATATATATATATATATATATACATATATGTATACATATATATATATATATACATACATACATACATATGTCCGGACACATGCACATGGGTGTACGTTTGCATACATTTGTACCATGTACATCTAAATGCGTACACACACTTGGACAGGAGTAGTCAGTCGTCGACATAGATAGACAGATAGACAAGTAGATAGGTAAATTCCCACGGAAGGTGGGGTTCAGGAAATAGAGTTTGCATAGGCGGTGCATGTTTCAGGGGTAGCCTATGCACCGTAACTACTACAACATGGTAGTGCAGGATATGCCAATAGGACCTGCCTCTAAATGAGTGCTCTGCCGGTGCCCTTTGCCCTGGATCCGCTATTGTAGCAAGATGGTACCAGGTTGTAGGAAAATGGTACAAGGAGCCCCCGTTTGCTAGAGCCCTATGGTACCCTTCAGGTAACCCTATAGATCCCTCCCACGAGGGACCCGCAAAAGACCCTTAAACCCTTAAACCCCTTTATATAGAACCTTTAAGGGGGCCCCTATAGTACCCCTTATAGGTCCCTTGAAGGGGCGCTTAAAAGACCCTTGACCCCCTTTACATAGAACTTCTTAAAGGGGCCCCTATAGTACCCCTTATGGATCCCTTGAAGGAGCCCTTGGTCGAACGAAGAAAAAAGTGCTTGGAGGATCATGGGACTTAGTAAGTATGGTTATAAGTACCTTAATTGGGGCTATAAGCAATTATTACTGTAGTTACCTTACCTATAACCGCAATTACTAAGTCCCATGATCCTTGAAGTAAACCCCAAACCCTAAACCCTTATAGTACCCCCTATGGATCCCTTAAAGGGACCCCTTAAAGGAACCCCCCAATTTCTAAGTCCCATGATCCTTGAAGTGCTCTCTTTTGCCAGGCCCTTGCTGCGATTGAGAGTTTCTCCGAAGTCGTCGATTCCGAGTATGTCGGGCACGGGCCTCGGCAAACTAGTATAGGGAATACGGGCCTTACTAGTTGCCGATACTGCTTTGGGGGCTCCTGATTGTAGTGCATAATATACTCCAAAACCCTGCTCTAATTATTGAGGCCCCTGTATTACTTAGATCCCCAATACCCAACCTTTAAACTTGTTGGGTCCTTATGGTTTAGTAGTTTCTGTGGCTTATTGGGGAAATAAGACAATCAACAGTGAGTCAAGGACCTCCAAAGGTGGGATGAAGCTAGGCACCCAGAGACTCCAATATCCCTTAATTAAGAAGGAATATTCCTTAAATTATAGTAGGATCCCTAATATGATTTAAGGAATATTCCTTAGTTAAGGCATATTAGAGTATCTGGGAAAGCTTCACGGCTCCCTTCATAAGACCTATAGTCTCCTTAGGAACTATTATTCTTGTTTATTATTAATATTAGTAATAGTATTATTATTAGTACTAGTATTAGTATTAGTACTAGTATTAGTATTAGTATAATTGTATCATTTTTATTCTTCTTGGTATGGGTGGTTGTCAAAATATATGGCCCCTTTTTGGGGGTACCCCAAATATTAGGTGCCGTACTATACTAGGGACCCCAAGAGGGACCCTAATTTTGACAACCACCCATAAAAAAAACCCAAGGGAATAGTAAAAATGCTAGTTGTGAGTATGGTGCTAAAAGGTGGGATCGAGACCTATAGTATCCTTAGGACTTGTTTTTTATTTTTGTTCATATAAAACCCAAGAGAATATTAACATAGTATTTGTATTATGGTTCTCAGGGTGGTACTGTTGATGGACAAAATCCTGCATGACCTTAAGGACCCCAAACTATGGGAATTATGGTATATTCCTTATTGTGGGTCATGCAGGATTTATATCATCAACCCTAAACCCTAAACCCCCTATAGATCCCTTAAAGGAACCCCTTAAAGCTACCCTCATAGATCCCTTAAATGGAACCCTAGGATTTATATCATCAACCACCCACCGTATCGAGACATTTTGTTGGGGAGTCCTGGACCTGAGTGCACCCCGCCGGTTGAGTCTTTTTCACAGAGCAGAGACCCAGAGACTCCAATATCCCTTAGTTAAGGAATATTCCTTGAATCATATTAGGGATCCTACTATAATTGAAGGTATATTCCTTGATTAAGGGATATTGGAGTCTCTGGGGACCATGACAGGAAGTTGCAGTTTCCAGTTGGTTTTGTGCTGGGCTTTGGCTTTAGGGTGCAAGGTTGAGGCTGTAGAACCCCCACTTTGGTAACGGACGGTATAGAAAGACTGAACCCCAAATCCTGAAAATGAGTTGGAACCGATAATGAGCGAGGGTGCACTGGTGAAGCTGGTGAGGCCTAGGGTTTGTTGCTGGAGCAGCACTGGACTCTGGACGCTGTGTGGGCAACTGGAGTC